CTGGAAACAGTTGTACAAAGATGGGTCAGATTAGCTCAGACCCTTAGAGCTCATCTTTTGGAGCAGCTCATCCTGGAGAACTTTCCGTGAAGATAGAGACTGTCCCCACCTGTGCTGGCCAATACAGTAGCCACTGGCTGCATGTGAGCCCTTGAGATGTGGCTGGTGGGACTGAGGAATGCATTTTAAAAAAACTAATAAATGTTTTTTAGGGAAGTTTTTGGTTCACAGCAAAACTGAGCGGAAAGTAGAGAGAGTTCCCATATACCTTCTGTCCCCACACCCGTACAACCTCCCTTACCAATGACATCCCCCACCACAGTGGTATACTTGTCGCAATGGATGAACCTACACTGACACATCATTATCACACAGAGTCCATAGTTTGCATTGGGTTCACTCCTGGTGTACATTCTATGGAGGAACAAATTTGTAATCTTGTTTCATTGTAATTAATTTAAACTTATATAGCCACATGTTGCAAATGGCTGCCATGTTGGGCAGCGCAGCCCTGGACTCTGGTGAGAGAAGCCCCAGGTCAGTTGATCACTGCCAAATGTGGCGGCCACAGCAGCAGGGGAATCCCAGGCCACTCAGGCTAGCCAGGTGGGACTTACACAGCCAAGCCTGTTTCCAGTCAAGAAGGTGCAGGAAAGTCTGTTGTCATGGCCCCTACAGACTCTGACACCCAGGCTGGAAGCTGGCACACATTTCCCAGACACTCTTGCCCACCAGTTTCCTATCATGTTCTGTCAGAGGAAGTTGTAAGGCAGGTGGAGAGAAGCCATTTTTTTCAGGCTTCTGCCAACACATTAAGCCNGTGTGTGTGTGTGTGTGTGTGTGTGTGTTTCAAATCTCTCTGCCTCTCTCTTATGAGGACACTTATAATAGAATTTAGGGTCCACCTGATCATCCAGCATAATCTCCCCATCTCAACACAGTGTAATCGCATTTGCAAAAACCTTTTCCTCAATAAAGTCACATTGACAAGGTCCAGGGATTAGGACCTGATAGCCTTGGGGGCTCTTCAGCTGCCTCTAGCTGGAGTGGAGGCTTCCAGAGACAGGAACAGCTTGCACACTGACACTTGGTCAGCCCCCAAGAAGCATAATCCTCGGCCACCTGGGTTTTTGTTTCTTTCTGCAGGGCCCAGAAAGGGAGATGGACGATGTCCAGGCCAAGGAGGAACTGAAGAGGGCCCGTGAGGAAGATGAGGAGGAACTGCTGATGGACAAGTTTGATGGGAATGAAAATGTCTTCAAGAGATTTCATAGGAGGAATGAACTTTAGTCATTGCCACCCAGATAAAGACGACTGGTAAAACCTTGCTTCTACTTTAATCTGCATATAAAAGCTCAAATGTCTATCTATGTGGTAATTTGTCCAGTTTTCCTTGAGAAATGTTCCTATGCTTCTCAGTGGTTTTCCCCAAGTCCCTGCCCCTGTGCACGAGATATTTCCTCTTGACAAAGCTGAGTTGCTGGAAGCCAGAGGCCAGTGAGAGTCCGGCCAAAAAACATGATGCTCTTTTCTTAACCCCCAAAATGTTTTATAAATAAAAGTCAGTAAAACTTACTTTGAAAAAGGGGAAATGATGCGTTTCTTCGGTTTGTAAATTACTAGTAACATATGAGGATTTCCCAATATGAAATCTTTATGCAATATCCTTGGTGTGGAAAGGTTTTGTGTGCTCTGCTGGTACACTGGTTATTTTGGAGAACCCAGGCTTCGTGCACAGACATTTGAGGTGCCATAAAGAAGCTGATGCTCCACCCACGCCCCCCCTCAACCCCGTGACCCACTTCTGTGGCCATTAGTTCTCTGTAAGATAGAGGAATGACATTTATTTTCTCAAGTGAAAATAGTGATTACTTCTCAGTTTAATGTTTTTTTT